AAGTGCCACTAGATGCAATCACTCAAGCAATGCACTTGGATTCTCTCCCAATCTCACAATGATGATGGATCAATGATGGAGATGAGTGGGAGGGCTTTGGCTAAGCTCACAAGGTTGCTATGTCAATGAAAATGTGCAAGAGAGAACCCTTGAGCCGGCCATGGGGCTATAAATAGAGCCCCCATCAAATAGAGCCGTTGTACCCCTTCACTGGGCAAAACACGCTCTGACCGGACGCTCCGGTCATACCGACCGGACGCTGGCCCTCAGCGTCCGGTCGCTCGATGGACGCCACGCGTCACCAGCTTCAAACGATGTTTGTCGATTTAACTGGCCAGCTCTGAAGGCTGACGGACGCTCCGGTCAAAAAACCGGACCGGACGCCTGAAGCCCCAGCGTCCGGTCGTTTCGAGAAGCTCCCCGAGGCGTATTTTTTTCGACCGGACGCGTTGGTCCACCTTGACCGGACACGACCAGCGTCCGGTGCTCAACCTACCCATGCTTGTTGCTCGGATACTCGACCGGATATGACCTTTCGGCGTCCGGTCATTTGAGTGACCCAGCGTCCGGTCGAAGAGACCGACGCCAAACATCATTTCGACCAACTCCATTTCAACTCTAACTTCTTCACCCTTGCTCAAATGTGCCAACTACTAAGAATTTTGCATCCGGCGCAATAGAAAATAGACATTTCATTTTTCCAAAGCGTTGAATCCCGCCTCATAAGCTCGGGCGGGAGGAGAGAGGACCCAAACCCATCTCAACCCCCCGCAAACACCTTGTGCACATGTGTTAGCATATTTTCACAAATATTTTCAAGGGTGTTAGCATTCCACTAGATCCTAAATGCATATGTAATGAGTTAGAGCATCTAGTGGCACTTTGATAACCGCATTTCGATCTGAGTTACACTCCTCTTAATAGCACGGCTATCTATCCTAAATGTGATCACACTCACTAAGTGTCTTGATCACTAAAACAAAATGGCTCCTACATTTTATACCTTTGCCTTGAGCCTTTGTTTTTCTCTTTCTTCTTTTCCAAGTTCAAGCATTTGATCATTACCATGCTATCACCATTATCATGATCTTCGTCATTGCTTCATCACTTGGAGTAGTGCTACCTATCTCATAATCATCTTGATAAACTAGGTTAGCACTTAGGGTTTCATCAATTAACCAAAACCAAACTAGAGCTTTCAACAGTACAACCCGTGAACAAAAGGCATTTACACTCAACCACCACCATACAACTACATCTGACAGCAGCAAACTATCAGAGAATACGCCAAGACCTCGCATCCGAGTTCTTCCTGAACAAAACAACACGGATATACGCTCGGGGGCTCGGCCAGCAGCATAGCTTAATCAACACTAAGCTAGGGAGTTCGGCCTTCATTTCAATTACTCCCGGGGGCTCAGAATCAAAGACAAAAGACAAAAAAGTACAAGAAACTCAAGACTACAACGACGACGACGCATCAGGACTTTTTTCAACCGACTTCTTTTTCAAAAGAAAAGAACTCGGAGAAGGCACGAGGCTGCGGGATACATAGCCCCAGAATTTTTTTAAGACAGGAATCTGGATCCTCCAAACTTTTGCAAGCAAAAGCAAGAGGCTCGGGGGCTACACTCAGTGAGTGCAATTTTTATGAAAAATTGCACCCACCAAAAAGAACTCGGACGTAAGCTCGGAGGCTGCAAACCGCGAAACTACTCGGATGATGGTTTAATCCAAGACTAAAGGACCGCCTCGGAAAGATACCACAGAAACTACTCGGATGGTGGTTTAATCCAAGACTAAAGGACCGCTTCGGAAAGATACCACAAAAAACTACTCGGATGATGACATAATTCAAGTCTCGGGGACTACTTCAGAACCCTCCAGCTTTTTGTTCCAAATAGCAAGAGGCTCGGGGGCTACACTCAGTGAGTGCACTTTTTCTTCGAAAAAGCGCACGTCACCAAAAGACTTACTCAGCATGAGACAACTTCAAGACATTGCGACAAAAAAGAAGAACCGGAGCGATTCATATTCGAGTTCTTTTTGACAAAACTTCAACGATCAATCAGAGCAACTTCAAGACAAGATCCTCCAGCTCCTTGTTCCAAATAGCAAGAGGCTCGGGGGCTATAACCAGATGGATGTACTTTTTCTTCACAAAACACTCACCACTCGAAGATCCCAAGAAGCGCTACAAGGTCTCACTCTAGAAAGCACTCGGATAACATTCTGTTCCTACCTAACAAGACTTGAAGGAGCAAAGCGAGACTTTCAGAGCTCAACCATGAAGTGCTCGGGGGCTTGTCGATGCGGGACCCACAGGATACCCCGCAAGAGAGAGAGAAGATCTAGTCCAACTAGGATTCTTCCCATGTAATCTCGGTAATAGAACTATTAAGTAATCCTACTAGGAAATCTCATTGTAAACCGATTAGGACCCTGGCCTCCTGACTATATAAAGGAGGGCAGGGCTCCTGAAAGAGGACGATTGGTACGAGAACACTTCATAATTAATCCAACGCAAAGGCAAACGCCGACTGGACGTAGGGTCGTTACTCGATCTACGATCGAGGGCTTGAACCAGGATAAATCGACTGTCTCTTGCGTTTACCATCGAGTTCCTGCAAACACCGATACCCCTCCGAACAAATCACCGCCCCGGGTACTCCCGTGGCGGGCTATCGGTGGTAAAACATCGATGATGTGTTCACCAAGGGTCTTCCTACCTCCACATTTCTGAGAATTTCGCTCTAGTTTGAATGTCTCCACTCCTAGTTAGTGTCGGCGTTCCAAGCTGCGAAGTGTTAGCATATTAAGAGTTGTAGAGTTGTAGTCTCTTTATTTTCCATCTCTTTGTATTCCCTAATGGAAAGTGAGTTGAGTTATTCTCCAATTATCCTGCGATATTCATTAGTATGGTTTATTAGTGTTTGGAGGGTAATCCTAATCGGTTGGTAATCCACTCGATCTCCCTCGATCCTCCTCCTATCGATTCTGGCTGCTTCACCTGCCGGATCTTCATTTTCATTCCTTAAGGCACTTTTTAATTTGCTGGTGGCCGCATGCATGCATGCATTGCGTGCTCCATTATTTTGTGGTTTGTGGCCAGCGCATGCGCGCGCGCGTGTGCCTTGTCTTGTGATCGACCCCATCAATTAAGTTTGGAATGATGGCGGCGATTAGCAAGCAAAAGGCAGGGAGGCAAAGAATGATGTGTTCCATTCATTGAAGATGATGACTGATGAGGAGAGGTTAGTTATGGACGCATGAAGTTCTTTGCCTCCGAGTTTCGACCTAGCATGCAAGGCAGAGGCAAGGCAAGCAGGATTTTTTTTGGGTCTCTCTCGGATCCATAAGTTCACCGTACAAAAATAAAATCATGTTGCGCAATGATGTCTAAAACTAGGTACTTCAGTGTATAAGGGTTTGTTTGGAAGAGCTCTATCAAATAGCTGATTACTTCCTGAGAAGTGATTCTATGCTAATTTTGTGAAGTGATTAATTATCTGAAATGAACTAGAGCTTGGGGACTTTCTATTTTTCCCCTTCCTTACAAATCCTTACATCTCTTAGAACTCTTTTGCATGTACTATTATAATGAAACCATTTAGGTTGGTGTGTAATGCCTCACAAAAAGATGTTAACTTTATTCATGTTCTCCCGACCATCCAATGTCCTGACGAACCGTCCGCTAGAACACTTATTTAGCAGAATCAGTTAGAATGAGTTGTCCTCCTCTTCTCCCTCTTGGGCCCACCTATTAGCCCGAAGTGAAGTCTTCAAGGTGACGGTTTACATCATCCCTTCTCCCATCTCCTCACTCTCATCCCTCTCCCTCTGTCTCCACAAGGAGGAGAAAACAAGAACTAAAGAGAGAAAGGGGAAGCAAGAGAAAGAAAAGAGAAAATAAAAGGAGATCCAAGCCTAAGCTAGGCATCATCAACTCAAGAGTAGATGAAGTTCATCACCTCCATCTCCATCACTTGAGTGAGCTCAAGAAATATTCCTTCTCCTCAAATGCAAATCCTAAACCCTAACTCTTGAACCCTAAGCCCAACCACCATAACAATTGTTTAGATACCTCTTAGTTCAACATCAATTCACCTTAAATCCATCTAATTTAGACACCAACACCAATTCACTTCAGTTTATCAACGGGGAGACACGCTTCTCTTCCTCTGCAGTCATTGCTAACCTACTGTAGGGAAATGTGAGGGCGCACGATGACACACTCCTTTGCGGCGGCATGGGGTATGGTCAATGGTGGCCCCCTCTGCGCCTCTATGGTGGCAGCGAGGCTGCGGGACCATGGCCGGCGGTACATATCTGGCGATAGAGTGACGTGCTTCTTATCTCTTCTTTGTGTTGTGCCTCTACGGTTTGAATAAAAAACCAAACTAAAAAAACCAGCACTGAACTTGTTGGTTCCTTGTGCCGTGACAAACCGATCGGCCAGAGAATTTCAGAAACCGAAGTTTCTGATAAAAAACCAAAGAAACCGAACTAAACTGTCGGCGCACGTTCATATCCTAGACAATAAAACTGTAAACAAAACTCGGACACGACCAGGGCAGCATTGTGGCCCAAACCGAACGGGCGCAGCAGACTCGGGACGTTTTACACTCTACCCAAAAGGGCCCAAGTTGCATTAAAAAAAGGGGCCCAAGTTAGTTTCAAAAAATGGGCCCAAGTTGCAAACCGAACGGGCGCAGCCTGCTGCTCTTGGGCCAGACCGTTCCAGTTTCCGCGTCAAACTAACGGGCCCCACAAACCATGTTGCGCTTGTACCTGCGCGGGACCCACCACCACCGCCGAGGTCGGCAGCCGTCCACTCCGCTCGTGAGCTGCGTGCGGCCTATTCGCGTCGGCGTCCGTGCCGCTCCCACTCGCTATCGGGCTTGGCTGGCTGCCATCTCCCTCCCCAGATTCCCTCGCCTCTCAGTCGCCGCCGCACTCCCCGCACCCCACACGCGCGGCATTCCGCATTGGCGCATAGCATGGCCACCCCGGGGGGGTCCACCTCCGCCACCTGCACCCTCTCCTCGGCGCTGGCGCACCCGCCGGCGCTGCTCGACTACGCCGCGATCCACTCGTGCCTGCTCCGCGGCGACGCCCGACTCTCCCTCCCGCTCCTCGCGCTGCTCCTCCTCCTCCACTTCCGCCTCCTCGCCGCCGCGGCCTCGGCGCGCTTCACCCCGGCGGTGTCCCGCCTCGCCGCGCGGCTGCGCCTCTCCCCATCCATGGCCGCCGTCACGCTGCTGGCGCTCGGCAACGGCGCGCCCGACGCGTTCGCCTCCGCCGCGGCGCTCGGGGGGCCCCAGGGGATGCCCAGGGCCGGGCTCGCCGCCATCCTCTCCGCGGGAGCCTTCGTCTCCGCCTTCGTCGTCGGCGCCGTCGCGCTCATCGCCGCGCCCTTCGCCGTCCCGCCGGCCTCGTTCGCGCGCGACGTCTTCTTCTACCTCGTCGCTGCGTCGGGGCTGTTCTACGTCTACCTCAGCGCTGAGATCTTCCTCTGGCAGGCCGTCGGGCTCGTGGTCTTCTATGCCTTCTTTGTGGGGCTAGTGTTCTACATGGATTTGGGGAGCGCGGAGGGGAAGGCGGTCAGCGCCGCAGCAGCCAAGGTGAAGATGGTGAATGGCAGTGGCCGTGTGGCCGTGGACTTGCCGATCACAGTGGAGGATCACAGGCGGCAACGACAACCTGCTTTGTGTGCATTGCTCTGGAAGGTATGCATTCAATTCAACAACTCGCAGTTAGTTTGTGTGCTTACTTGAGTGAGTCATTGTTAATGTCCAATGTGCTAGTACTTGACGGAGACATCAATCCTAGTCTGTTTGGTGGTCTCTGCAGATTCAACAGTCTCACCTGAAAAATGCTGCAAGTTATGATTTCTTTATCTGCAAATTTCATCTTTTCGTCGACTTTGGCTCCCCCTTCCCTGGAGTACGTTTGGCTTTGGGTTTTAACATTACTGACTGAATTCAAATGTGAAACAGTCGATCAAACAGATAGCTCTTACCAGCAAATGTTTAGGAAAGAAAATTCAGAAGCATGTAACAGTTTCTTCTTTATAATTTGTAGATTATTAGCCCCAATATCACTAAATACACAGAAATGTCTTCCTTTGCCTTGCTGGCCAGAAAAGCAATCGTTGATTGTTTAGTCATAAGTCCACAACCAACTTAGTGAGGCTGCTGAACTAACTGGAATAAGGATAGTGACTCAACTCTCCTAGGGTCCAATTCATGTTCTTACAACCCTAGTAAGCCAAGCACCCACCTGGTCAATCAAGCTTATGGGTGAACGAACATTGCCACTCATCAACTATAACACGAACAAGTGAATGCCCAAACATCCTTGCTGATATTTTGGATATTTGCTAGTTCATAGTGGTTGATGAACAGACGAGCGATTTGTCCAACTCTCGCATGCCCGATTACATGTTCGGTTTTAGTATGTTTTGGAGTTAGGTTGTCTATTGTCTGCTCCTCCCTTTATTTTTTTCCTCTAGGAAAAACTAGGTATTTGGTGCTTAGACAGAGCAACTACAAAGAAGGTGAAACTTTTGTGGAGGGAAAGCTGAGAAGCATATAAGTGACTACTGATTGTCATGCGCCGGACCGGACCAGAGGGGTCGGCCAGGGCTAACCCTAGGGCAAGAGAGAGGACAGAGGTGTGTTTGCCTGTGTGAACAGTAAGGGGAACAAAGGGGCAAGAAGGCAGAGGGGTATTACCCTAATTCTGCTCAACCTTCCATTCATAAGCATTTATATAGAGGCATAAGACTTGACCCCTAAGACTCCTAATAGATTGATACTTTGTAGATGGAAGAATCCAATCTAATTACAACTCAAATTTATTAAGCCTAACTCTATGACACAGGGTCCAACTGGCAGTAACGGGGTGTCAGGCTGATGGCGGCTTGCATACTTCCTTGTCAGACAGATTGCTGTCTCCAAGTGTGATGGTTCTTCTATACTGGTGGGAGATAGGTTGTGTAGATTGTAGGGAAGGAGGTAGGAGGACAAGGGATGGGCAGGCGACGGTGGCCTGTGGTCGCCTGTATGCAAGGGAAGTCGGCGGCCTAGGGAAGGCGGCGGCATGTTTGCCCTCCTCCTTTGCTGCAGCAGCGGTTTAGCGGCGGCGTCTTTTGGTGGACTTAGTGTCGCCTTGCTCGATGGAGACGAGGCGGGTGTCAACATTGTCCCAGCGGCATTGAAGCTCGTCGAAGTGAGTGTTGGTGTTGATGATGATGAGCTTCTCGGGCAGCGCCTTGATGTTGGTGGCGTTTGGAGCTGTGTTATTTGTTGCTGGCCATGGATACCTGGTCTCTAGATACTAGATGTGATGGGACTCTATCTGTGGGAGGTGAGTTGTGTAGATTGTAGGGAAGGAGGTAGGAGATGAGGGACATGAAGGCGAAGGCAGCCTGAGGGCGGTTTCTGACAGGCTGCAGCACAGGGGCAACGGCGGCACTGGAGATGGCAGGCACAGGGAGCAGGGATGCAGGAGAGCTTGAGGAGTAATCCTCTATTTCTTGCTTGTCTGATATGTGTACATGTCCCTTATATTTATATTCCCAATGGCTGCTTCCCTAAGCAAACTAGAGGTAGAGTCCTTATTGATTTGGACTTTCCTTTTCCTAAACAAACTCATCTTTCCTAATCTGAATTATTCTTTCCAATCTTATTCGAACACTAAATGCCCCCCCCCCCCCACCCCATTCCTTGTGCTTGGCCAGCCCTGACCGTTCTCTGGGCCGCTGGGTCCACCACTGCCGGGCCTGTTTGGACCCATGGCACCAAGTCTGGTGGTTGGTGTAATTCCAGTTCGAGGTGCAGGAGATCTGTCAGTCCTGCTTTGTATAGCATAGCTTGTTACAGATTGTTTACCCGAGAGAGCTGTGTCATAAACTGGTCTGTATATTCCTTAAGTGATTCATGCAGTTGACTTTCTGATAAATGTCCCAGCGAGCTCTTTCCTGTCAGAGGTCTGAACGTTTGTTGATGATAGAGAGAAAATTGGGCCATGATTGGGTGCTCTCATCCTTTTCTAAGCACATAAACCATGTCAAGGCTCGACCTGTCAAGTGGAAGGATGCTAACAGCATCTTGTCTTTTTCTGGTGTTATCTGAGATAGAAAAGGGTTCGTAGACTCCATCATATTCTGGAAACAATCATTTAAACCCTTGTGTTCATACCTTGGCTCCTGATTCTTTGGTGTGGAATCTGTTTTCCTTCCCATCCACCAGAGGCTGTTTCACTTTCCACGGTTGCTGATCTATCAGAATTGCTCCCTCTGGTACTGTTGCTCCCCTTTTCGGGGTTGGAACATAGATCAGAGTAGTTGTGGTCAGCTCCGCTGTGCTTGCTGCTCGAGTTTTGCTGCCTACACCACTAGTGGTTGCATCTGTTATTTTGATCTCTTTCATCCAACTAGCCCATGCTGTACAGATCCAAATTGGAGTCCATTGTGATGGAAGAACGCTGGCTCGAATACCATCTGTCACATGCTCGGATTGGAGAGGGGTCAGCCAGGGTTAACCCTAGCCGAGAGGGTGAAGAAAGTGGGGGCTAGGGCAAGATAGGAGAGTGTGGTGTGGCAACAGGGGGGTGTGTGTGTGGGGGGGGCAAGAAGGCAAATGAGGATTACCTTAATTCTGCTTAACCTTTCATTCATATAAGCCCATCTATATTTATAGACGCATAAGAATTGATCCCTAAGACTCCTAAAAGATTTTGTTGCTCCAGTCTGGCAGTTCACGAAGCTTTAGCAAGGGTAGATTAGCACTGATCAACTTGACCAAAGTTTTTTTTCATTCACTACGAGTGAGTGGGATGGATCATGTATTATGCTATAATAATATATCACACTGCACCACTTCACAGATACTCAGTTTGAGAACATTTTCCTTTCATTCTCTGTATTTTTCACAATACTGATTTAAGTATATCTACCTCTGGCAGGTAACAGAAGTTTGGGAGTGGCCCATTGCATTTGTTCTGAAGCTTACAATACCATCAACCCTTCCTTCTGAGTGGAGCAAAGTTTACATTAGTGCAAATATCTGTCTGTGTCCTCTCTTAGTCCTGTATTCTTTCAGTTCGTTCATTCCTCTAGATACCCGTTTCTCTCTATGGTCTGTTGTGCTTTTTGCTAGCTTTTGTTTAGCTCTATCCCATTACCTTTTCGAGAAAGAAGCCCCAGAAACAGAAAATGTCGCAAGCACCCTCATCTCTTTTATTATGAGTGTCTTCTGGATCTCGACCATGGCTGCAGAGCTCCTGAACTGCCTCGCTGCAATTGGAGTTATCATGGATTTCCTCCAGCTATACTCGGCATGACAGTCTTGGCATGGGGAACTCTGTGGGAGACCTTGTTGCGGATGTGGCACTGGCCAAGGCTGGTCAACCTACAATCGCCATTGCTGGCTGCTTTGCTGGTCCAATGTTCAATATGCTGGTTGGATTGGGAACTGCCCTTGTAGTACAAACAGCAAGAGTGTATCCCAAAGCTTATGTGCTTGAATTCCATGTCGGAATTGTCGTTGCATTTGTGTTTCTTCTTCTGAGCTTGATGGGCACCCTGTTGGTGGTCACCTGGGCTAGGTTTCAGGTACCCAGATTTTGGGGCTACTGCCTTGTGGGTATATACATCTTGTTTACCATAGTCAGTATTGCCATCGCGAGTTCTTCAGGATGATATATGTGATCTCTTTTGTGAAGATAGCTGATGCTAGATTGTGGTATATGCTTAGCATTTGCAATTTGTCTGGTTGATGCATTCGGTGAAAACTGTTCATGAGAATGCTGTCTAATCTTAATGTATAGAATTGAGACATTTCACTGCAAAGTTTATTGAAGTGGTACGGTTGGTAGGATGTTACATGTTGCGCTGAAGCCGTTGTTTGTTGTGTTTTTTTATGCTCTTTTAGGTAAAAGTTTCGGATGAGATGCATAGAAATCGATCTTCTTCACTTGTGTCCTGGAGGTCTCGGGTCCGAATCAACCTTCTTGCAAAATAAGCATAGAGAGAATCTGCCTGGTCCGAATCAAGTTTCACGTTTCCAGCTGTCAAGGTTGGGAGAAGAGAAAAAAAAAGTTGGATGACAAGAAGCTGAAGTGGAAATGCTATTCTTGAGGAGCCCTTGAGTCTCGGTGGAAGAAGTGAAATCAATTCTATCTTTGAGACTTCCAAATTGCGCCGCATGTAACAATGGAATGCAGGAAATAAGCTTATGAATAAAATCAATCAAAATTCCTACGTATACAGTTCTTCTAGCCCCTTTCCCCTCTTCCAGGGTGTACAAGGTTTGGGCATATCGAGGAATAGGAGCTACACCAACCATCAATGGTCAAATCTCAAACCATTGAGGAGCAAGTAGTAGTGGGGTTATTTTACATTTTGTAATGATAGATGTGGGTAACTTAAATGCAAATTAAAACATATGATTTTTGTTATCTTTCATGTGGCTGAAGTTGGTAATTTATAAGCAAATTTAGGGGTTATTCTTAATTATATTTCATAATGGAAGAGATTATTTAGATGTAGATTTTGGGTGTTATTTATGGCTTTTTACATGATGATAGTAGTGGGTATTTTTTATAAAATATATTAGAGCCAATGACAATTATTCTCCATGATGATAAAGGTCGTCTGAATTATAAAACATAAAAGTCGTCCAATGACCACTAGAGCCTACGGGAGGATCCCAATGACTAGTTAATGGCTAGATTTAAATCTTGAAAATAGCCGTTAACACACCCTAAGCAC